ACATGCCACCTCTCTGGGTCCCAAAACCCTTCCTTGAGGTGGGCCCTCGATAGTGAGGAGGGCCACATCTGCGAGAAGGGGGAATCTCGCAGCGCAAGAAGATCTGCAGTCGTATACATCTCCAAAATGCAGCGATGGAGGCCCAAAGCTCAGACAGGGGACTTCACAAAAGATGTAACACAGCCAATTGTTCATCGATGTGCTGTTGGTGTCTCAACTGTCCTCCCACAACAGCAGGAGGGTCCTAAATTATCTCCTCCAATGGGAGCGACCTCCGGCCCGCCCTCTCACAGCGGAACCCCACGGGGCCGTAGATTGAAAAAGTTCTCCCACAGACAAGAGCCATGATGTAATAGAGTTGCATCAACAGTTGCATCAATTTGGCTGACCATGGTCGGAAGAAAGATTTATCAGTCTATCAGTCAGTCTATGAGTCTATGAGTCACGCCAGGGGTGAAGATGGAAAATCCTTGGCAAAGTCTTATACTCAAGATCATATTCGAGTAAGTCCCGATGAAAAAGGGAAGAAGGGAAGGGGAAGAAGGAAGAGGGGAAGAAAGGGGGGGGAGAAAGAAGATTCCCTCAATTAGGGCGAATAATAAGCCCATTTAGGCAGACACAGTACCTGGGAGGGGGAGGAGAAAAGGGCTGGTATCTATGTGACGGAAAACTCCTCCGTCGCCCCCCAGCCCTACATTCCTCAGATAGTTCAGTTCTTCCGGGATAACAAATCCAAACCCCAGCCTCCATTGGATGTCACAGGGGGCCTCCAGGTCCTCTACAGCTGCCAAGATATCCCGGGAGGGGGTCTTTCTTCTCCAGTCCATTATGCTCCTCTCAGTTTTCACCCTCTAGCAAGGCCCCTTCTCCGGCAATAGGGCCTGAGAACAGCTCCAGTACTTCCATGGGGTGTGCCATGGCCCAGTTTAATGTTGGGGCCGGCCTCACCACCCCCGCTGATATCCACGCCACCATTCCCGGTTTCCAGGGGCCGCTGAGGAAGTTCCTGAGTGGGGCAGATGAAATTTCAACAGGCTGCCACCACTCGCTGCCCCACAGCCATACTTCCCCTTTCACCTTGCTGCTATCGCTGCCCACAAACAAACCACCATAGCACCACTTTCGGTGGCGTTGGAGCAGCGCAGCCAACTTCTTCGCCGGCGCCTCTAGGCATGTCCAGGGGCGAGGGAGATCTCAAAAACCCTCGCCCCCTCCGCTGACTGACCCCCCCGCCGCCAGCAAGCCACATCTCCATATCTCCGTTCTCCGCTCTCTGCTCTCCGCTCGGCTCGGCTCCACTCTCCCTTCTCCTTCTCCTTCCCAGCAGCGCCGCCGATCTCCACTCCCCACTCGGCTCAGCTCTCGGCGGCGTCAGCGGAGTCAGAGCAGCGCGGCCACATTCTCCCTCGCCGCCTCCGACTCCGGGGGCGTCCAGGGGCGAGGAAGATCGCAAAACCCTCGCCCCGAAGCCATCCGACCGAATCAGGGGTCGCTGATGGTCGAGCTCCCCTGCAACACCCCCTCGAGCCCCAGAAAGTCCTCCATCCAGCCGCAGCACCTCACCTCACGACTGCCATCTTGCGCATGCTTCAGCGATCATCAGAGGCTTTACATTTTGCTGAACTACTATTCATCTGTTATCCAAATTGAGACTACTAAAACTTTTGAATTGTCTAGGCAAATGGATAACTAATTGCAAAAATATTAATGTTCAAAGTATTAGTATGGTAAATAAGAAACTCTGTGAATCACTTCTATTTTAAATAGTGCCAGTACTTGACCTCTTTGTTGCAGACACATTCAGGCTTGGACAGGGTTGTCCTCTCTCTAAGATATACCTGGAGTTTGGCTTTGCCACCATTCCAGAGCAGGGGATGGGGAGGGGAGCACCTGTCAGTTGAGAAGTCCAAATGGCTTTCAAAGGCTATATGCCATAGATTAACAGATGCGAGACAGTGTGACTGAAATTGAGTTCTAGGAACAGTTGGGTTTGTTGCTGTTTTCTGGCTTTCTTGCTGCAAATTACTGTCCAAGCTGCTCAATGTGCCATTGACCTGGCAATGGGATTTCAAAAACTGATAATTCTGGGAAACTTTAATTTGCTCTCATGTGGCATAATCTACCACTATAGCAACCACCTCATCCAAATTATTAACAACCAAACACAGAGAGATGGTTACTTACTAGATCAGAATAATTTAACATGGTATAAAAGTGAAGAATCTCATCATCAGTCCTTGTTAAGGTCAGATCACTGTCTGAATGTTTTTCAAATGGTTGGACCTGCTTCCTACCATTATCTCTTTTCCTCAGACATCTAATGGATCCCAATATGTTTCAGAGGGAGCTTATAATTTTAGGGGGAGGGGTCTGGTTCATTTGAGGCTTTAATTTCTGTCTGATATAAGTAAGTGATGAGGGTCTTGAATCAGACTATAATTTTAAAATTGTATATATAATGTGTGTGTCTGTATGTGACTTAAAATTGAGTCAGACCAATTTCATTTGTATAATTTTTAGAAAACCAAACATTGCATCCTTTAATACCTAAGACAGAAAGTCATGACTAAGTAGTATGATGAAGAAATGCAAGCAAAACTGTAGGCTAGTATAAAATTAACAAGGATTTAAAAGATGTCAATTTACCATGCATGTGCAGCAGCCAAATTATCCATGGATTTAAGAGTCCCTCAGCACTCATTCATGTGATGCACTGTAATGGTTCCCAAGAGCTATTAAATCTAGGTCAAAACAAACCTTGCTTGCAAAATTTTACACCAGCATAAAACTGCCAGCTAAGCTTCTCCACTAGTCACATTACTACATTGGACAAGATTGCATAGTTCAAGAGTCAAAAGGCACACAATAACTTAAAGTATCCCTTCATATCATGATTGTTTATTTGTAAAAACAGTTACATTATAATTAAACAGAACAAAAAATAATGAAACTAATGCCCAGCAAAAAAAAAAAAAAAATTTATAATTATATTGTGTCTTAATTGTCAAAAATTTAATTTTATCAACAACTTGTCCCAATAAATAATAAAAAGCATTTTTATACTGTATATTTACTTGTACAAACATGTTATTTTTATCACTTTGTCCAGCATTTATGTACAGCTATTTAATTGCTTCTTTGTCTCTCATATCCAGTTTTAAGCTTGCAATTATAATCCACTTACCTAATAATGTATACCATTGAATTCAGTAGGAACTCATTTTAAATACATTTAAGACAGGCATACTGTAGTAGCTCAAGTAAACATGTTGTAGCATGCCACATTTATTACACAATTAAAATAAACTGCACAAAAGAAATATAGAGCTATGAAATCAGCTGATGATGCATTAATCTTCATGTATCTCTCAAGCTGGGTTTCCAACTCCACATACAACCTTTATAATAAAATCTTGTGAACTTTTGTATTCTGTATTTCATGAATGGTCAGTTCTGTACCCCAAAAATAACTTTAGCCCTGCAATACTAATCATTTATGTGCTATTTTTAAAAGAAAGAAAGAAAGAAAGAAAGAAAGAAAAGAAAAGAAAGAAAGAAAGAAAGAAAGAAAGAAAGAAAGAAAGAAAGAAAGAAAGAAATTGGCTTTTCTTCATGAAAGTTGAGAATAAAATATAATTTTAAAATTATCAAAATAGCTATATACTACTTTCTAGCAAAATGTACACAATGTGGGTTTTGAATCATGGGGCATTAGGATCTGTCAGCAGGAGGGAAAAGGAAAGAAAGGCAAAATCGTCACAGACGGTAGAAAAGAAAAGTGTGAGGAAAGAAAGTACTGAAAATAAAAAGAAATAAAACCATAGTTACAAATCCTTCAAATACATTTTAGCCTACAGAGAAAAAATATGAATCATTGAAAGGAAATGTAATAAATAACCAAAGCCCTGAAATTTCATTTAGAAATGAAAAGCACAAGTGAAAAACTATTACTGTGTTCTTACTGTTCCTGTCTCCTATTAGATATATACTGTATATCACAGCTTGAAGGCCTCTTGCATTATCTGTCTTTTTTGTAATCTCCATGCTGACTAATGTCATGGAAAGAAATGAAGGGTCAAGGTAGAGTACCACTCAAAGCACTGCTCAAGGCTAATTTGGCAACAATGTTCTCTTTCTTGTCTCTCTGTGTATGTGTGTGTGTTTGTGTGCATGTATGTGTGTATGTGTGTCCTCCTATTGTAACAAGAACTGAAAATGCGAAGCAAATCACTTAGATTTGGTGGCCAGAAGGACATAAGAAAGTTCCAACCCATTCATTGAATATGACAGCAGAAGACTCAGTAAAGCAAAGAGGACCATATTCATAATAATGGTCAAATACCAGTAGTAAAATGGATTTCTCAAATAAAAATGTTCATCTTTGATGTTCATCAAAGCAATCAAATAGCTCTTCTTAAAATTGTACCAATGTTAAGATACTAAATACCCTGAGTCACTCCTAAATTTATTTTCAGTGTCTTCAAAAACTTTATAAATTGGCTTGAAGACATAGTTATCCATTTTAATATATGCATACACCTCAAAAATTAATAAATGTGGTATATGCATACACCTCAAAAATTAATAAAGCAATAACATAAAAAACTAAATAAAAAGAGGAGGTGAAATATGGCAAAATATGGCTATCAGGTACATAATGATGTTGGAGAAATATGACTGCCTTTACTGTTATATGGTAATCTTTAGTGTTGGTTCTTACTGTGTCTGATCAAACTCACTTTGAATATTCTTTTCAATAGTACTCTAAGCATCTCCTTGGAACTTCATCTCCTAGAATCCCCTAGGACAGGGATATCAAACTCCTGCCCCACGGGCCAGATGCATCACGCACTGGCCATGCCCACACCCAGTTTAACAAAGAAGAAAAAAGTCCTGATACATCATGTGACGCCACCATGCCCTAGGAAACCAAGGAGAATCCTGGGATCAACACAAGGAAGAAGCTGCATAGGGGCAATGCAGAACAAGGCCTCACCTACCATTCCAGGAAGCAACAAAGGTTCACCAAATTCTCATATGAATCCCAAAGCACTCCGTGTGATCTTACTGGATCCACTAATCATTTGAAGTAGGATAACTGAACAGGTCCAGTCTCCATGCAGGGAGGGGTGACAACAGTGTCCCCAAAGGCAATAAGTGAGTGACATATCTATCACAATGGATTGATATCAGTGACCTCAATGCCATGTCACAACTCAACCACCCTGAGACAAATATCTAATTTGCAACCAGCAGTATGCATCAGGATGTTTTTGACTTGAGACAGCTGATTGCCCAGGAAGCCACCAACACCTGAGCTACCCATGATTCAATGTCTCCTGATTGAATTGAAATCTCCAGGTGTCAACACTCTTGGGGACTCTATTGCCAAGCCAACAATGGAATCCATCAGTGAATGGAGGGCGGTACACTAGCAGCAATCCCAATAGTTCCTTAAGTCCAACTTCAAATAACATACCTTACATTCAGTTATCTGCAGAGAACAATCCATAAAAGCCTACAATCACTTACAGATGATTAGCCATCCAGCCTTCTTACCTGAAGCCTGAGTGTTTATTTTTATTTTATTTTTTTATTTTTATTTTGATTTATATGCCGCCCTTCTCCGGAGACTCAGGGCGGCTTACAATGCGTTAAGCAGTAGCCTTCATACTATTATATATTTTATACAAAGTCAGCTTATTGCCCCCACAAACCGGGTCCTCATTTTACCTACCTTAGAAAGGATGGAAGGCTGAGTCCACCTTGAGCCTGGTGAGAATTGAACTCGCAGTAATTGCAGGCAGCTGGAAGCTAAATACTACCTTTAACAGTAGCATTAGTCTGTTGCACCACTCAGGCTCAGCCACTCAGTGTTCCATTTCTTGAGAGGAGAAATATCCTCCCCACATCCAATTAAGTTTTATAAGACATGCCAGATCATTATACAATCATGAATAATGCTTTGTTACACACTGACCTGGCATTCAAAAGCAGCAACCAAATCCCAGGTCACTGAGCATCTAATAAACAAGCTCAAAGAGTAGAAGCTGAGGGTGGACACTGGGTCCAGTGTACCCAATTGCAGCCCATCCTCATATTCCCAGCATAAATCTTCCTGTCCATCATGGTTTAGATGTTCCTACCTGCTTCCTTTGCTTTCCCCTTTCTATTCATGCTCTTCATGCTTTTCTTCAAGGTCCAGGCATCCATTTCCAGTATCTTCCATCTTCTAACACACATCAATTCAATTCCTCAATGACCCAACCCATCCATCCAGGAACCTAGCAAATGTTCTGACCTACGCTTCCTTAGAAATTAAATAGCACAAACTTAGTCCCGGCAAACCTCTTTAATTCATACAGCTGTAAATTACTTTCAGTTACAGTCCACAAGGCTTGATAAACAGTCTTTCAGAGGAAGGTTATCAACACCCACCTATCTCACATGGCATGCTGCCAAAGAGCTAATTTCCAGATGCAGGCCAAGGCCAAACTTGGCACAGAGTCACAAACAGAATTTTCAAATCTTGAATCGGCCAGATAAACTAATTGCTTCCTGCAAAAGTTCACGTCCCGTTCGCTTCTCTTTTATGTCTTATGGGAGAGGCCAATCATCTCCAAGCTTTACTCCCAAGTTGAACCTGTTTCCTTAATTGTTCCTTAATTGTTTCTGTCTCCTGGCAGCTCTGCGCATGCGCACACTGGGAACAGGCTCACACTGGGAACAGACTCACGTCTGCCTCGCTGATGTCAGACTCCAGAGATTCCGGAGGCAGCAAAGAACTACCAGATGCCCTTAGCTTCCTCTCTGCCTCCAACTCAGAACCATCGTCCGAGCCTTCCCCAGATTCCAGGACTGGCTCACGTTCCTCCCCAACCTCCTCACTGTCTGAATCTGCTGCCAGCTCTGCTGGCTGCTGGCAGGTCACAACAGGAAACTCCTAACCATATCTTCTGGACACTTGGAAATCTTAGGGGTCCAAGGCCCAGTAGGAAGAGACCACTCAATCTTGCCCACTGTCCCACCTTTCTGTAACAGAATAATCATACCTTTAACAGTGGCGGGGGCTACATTTGTACAAAACACTTCATCTAGTTCAATACTTCATCAGGCTCAATAGTACTAATTGTGACAGCGATCTTGGAGTCCTAGTGGACAATCACTTAAATATGAGCCAGCAATGTGCTGCAGCTGCCAAAAAATCCATCACAGTCCTAGACTGCATTAACAGATGGATAGAATCAAGATCACATGAAGTGTTAATACCACTTTATAGTGCCTGGTAAGACCACACTTGGAATACTGCATCCAGTTTTGGTTGTCACAATGTAAAAAAGATGTTGAGACTGTAGAAAGAATGCAAAGAGCAACAAAGATGATTAGGGGACTGGAGGCTAAAACATATAAAGAACAGTTGTTGGAATTCAGTTATGACTAGTTAATGAAAAGAAGGACTAGGGGTGACATGATAACAGTGTTCCAATATCTAAGGGGTTGCCACAAAGAAGAGGGAGTCAACCTATTTTCCAAAGCACTTGAAGGTAAGACAAGAAACAATGGATGGAGACTAATCAAGGAAAGAAGCAACCTAGAACTAAGAAGAAATTTCCTGACAGTTAGAACAATTGATCAGTGGAATAACTTGCCTCCAGAAGTTGTGAATGCTCCAACACTGGAAGTTTTTAATAAGAGATTGAACATCCGTTTGTCTGAAATGAACAGAGGGTTGGACTAGAAGACCTCCAAGGTATCTTCCAATCCTGTCCTTCTGTGTTCTGTAATAAAACCACAGGCTTTATTTTATAGAATTTCTATACCATTAACCAAGTCACAACCTTTTTCAATTGGAATACACTTATCCAGACGAAGAGCTGCTGTTTAGGTGGAGGAGGTGGATTGCCAAAAAAACTACATGTCCACTTTATATTAGAAAGAATTGGACTCTGTATATCTTTCTGCTGGTATATTGCAGCCATCTGTTTTTGTTTGTTTGTTTGTTTTGGCAGTCTGGATCCAGCAGCCATACTATATGGTATTTTCAGTATGAAAACTTATATGATAATATGTGAAAGAAGAAATTTATAAAGTAATATGTTAGTAGGAAATATTTCTTCTAATTCTGATTTAACCAGAAAACCTTTTTTTTTTTTACAAGCAAGCATCTTTATTGGATGACAAAATCCCTGCAACAAATAAATTTTCTTATTAATGCTTGTGTTATAATGACAAAATGTTTCACTCTGAAGAAGATAAAAGCTTCCTATTCCATATAAATTATACTTGAGAAGTTTGACACAGTGCATGCAGAACTATCTCATTAGCTTCAATGGCAGATTTGTGTTCAGATTTCTCCTGTATAAATCACTCTTATCAAAAGATGTCTTTAATTTTAGTTATCTTGGTTTGATCCTCAGTATCCAGTATAAGCATGAATTGTTGGAAGAGCAAATACCCCCCCCCCCAATTTCTTTTCTTTTTCTGTTGTTGTTGTTTTAGTTTCCACAGTTATAGAAAATTGTTCGGGCTTCAGTAGATCATCATGATCTGCTTAAATTACTTCCTGCAAGTAGCATACAACTAAGTAACAAAATAAAAATGGCAATAAAATGAACAGTTGCTTTTAGAAGGTTTATGGTCATGTCCCGGACTCCTAGGATTGTGGCCAGGTGGTCATTTACCACCTAATGTTTTCAATCATGAGTCTGTCTGTGCTACATTCTGCATTTAATTCCCTACCACAAAAGTTCTGCTATTTTCAGGATCTGAATTTCCCTTTTCCTGGATTCAATCCATTCATCCTGTCATTTTGTAAAAACTTCCAGATTTTTGGAGAGGCCCTCCTATTGGGAGGATTTTAAGCTCAGGAATTTGAAGAAGGTATTTATTTTTGGTACAAAATTGCAAAACCAGCTTGTTAAGTGACATCAGCAGGAAGAACATATGGAACAGCATATTTCTAAAAGTGTGATTCCATCTGAAGTCTCACTTTGTCTTAAATTTGACAAAAATAATTCATTTGCTTCAGTTAAAAAATCAATTGAATTTTTCCTCATTTCTCATAGTTATATTGTTTCACATACTAATTCCATCAGTGTATGCTTATTCTTAAGTTATTGTAATGCTTTATATCTATATATATAAAAGCGAAATACCACTCAAGCGTCACACCGAAATCTCCAGAACTATAAAGCCTACAAACTTGAAATTTGGGATGTATGCAGGGGTGAAATCTAAATTCTTTTGCTACCGGTTCTGTGGGCGTTGCTTGGTGGTCATGTGACTGAGTGGGCATGGCCAGTTTGACGTCACTCATGTCACTCACTGTTAGAGCCAGGAGCTCCACATTCTGACACAGAAGCACATTCTGTCTTTCACAGAATGTCACAGAAGCCAGGAGCTGCACAAAAGCACATTCTGCCTTTCTGAAGCCCCGAACGCTTTGAGTTTCGCTCTGGCTTTACTGCCCTGGCGAACCTCAGAGCGTTCTTTTGCCCTGCTCTTCATCCCAGAGGGCTGTGCATTCTACCCTGCCAATCCTCCATACAAACAGCCCACCCCATTTCTGCATAGGCAGAGCCTTCCCCTTGCAGGGCGATCCAAAGAAGGGAGGGGGATGCTGCTGAAAAAGCCGCCTTCCACCTGGGCCGCCTCCTGCAGCCAAACACGCCCAGCAGTCTCTGCCTTTTCCTCAATCTAGTTGTGCATGGGGCGCTTGGAGAGAAAGCGAGCAAGACAGCTCTCCAACCTGTGTGTGTGTGTGTGTGTGTGTGTGTGTGTGCGCGTGGGAGCGATCTGAAGCTGGGGCACCCAAATCTCTGGCAGCGGCGGGGGCAGCTTCTGAGCAGCCTTGAGTCAGCCAGATCCACCTGACCTGTTCCCTGAGTCTCACTGGCTGACTCACGGCTACTCAGAAGCCCCACCATCACTGGTGCCAGAAGTTTGGGTGCTTCAGCTTCAGATCGCTCCCTCCCTCACACACACACACACACACACACACACACACACACACACACACACGCAGGTTGGAGAGCTCTCTTGCTCCTCTGTCTCCAAGTGCCCCATGCACAGCCCATTTGAGGAAAGGGCACGCATGGCTGGGTACATTTGGCTGC